CCCCGGAGGAGCTGGAGGAAGTGTCTGGAGAGAGGGAAGTCTGGGCATCTTTGCTTAGACTGCTGCCCCCGCGACCCGGTCCCGGATAAGTGGAAGAAAATGGATGGATGGATGGAGTGAACTAAACATGCAAGTAAATGCCAGCCCCGCCTGAGCACAACTCGAAATGCAGGGGGAGAGAGAGAGACTGCCATGACAGTAGGAAGCTAATCTCATGTTTTATCAGATAGTTATGACCATGTGATATTTCAGTTTTTCTTTTTTAATAAATCTGCAAAAATGTCAAACATTCTGTGTTTTTCTGTCAATATGGGGTGCTGTGTGTACATTAATGAGGAAAAAAATGAACTTAAATGATTTTAGCATATGGCTGCAATATAACAAAGAGTGAAAAATTTAAGGGGGTCTGAATACTTTCCGTACCCACTGTATGCTCCCTTGTGTGTGTCATTTGTCAGGTCAGTTGGTTTTGTTGAGGTATTAGACAGTTCAGTTTGCTGTATTTTGATTTTCCTTATCATTTGTTGACCTCTTTTAGGGCCCAATTTATCTGATGTTAATTTTGCCTTTTTCTTACTTTTGGGTTAATAAAAAGCCCTTTATTTTGAACTTTGGAAGCTGTGTCTTTTGCCTTACTGCTTGGTCCCTGACACAGATATTGCATGTGCTTAGGCATCACAACCACAACTGCATGGCTCTTTTAGCTCCAGGATTGTGTGTTGGAATTATTTGTGTCATTTGTCCTGTGAGGAAAACTGCAAGAATAGTTCCAGCTGTAAATCACACATACAACATACAATCATTGATACAGGTTACTATCATAGGAATATGCACTGTTAAAGATTAAGCAAAAAAAAGGGTTACTGGTTAGAAGTGATTGAACCAAAGTGACAGCAGGAAAAGTGCGAGTTGTACTCAGAAAAAAAATTCTACAAAAGAATAAAAAACTTGCATAGTAATTGATGGAACATGTGACCCTTTGTATTAACCCCTCCAAAACTCCCAGGGGGTATTGTACTAGGTAGTGCCATTTTAGTTACAATGCAAATGTTCCTAGCAATAGATTATGTTTCAGCCTCAGACTGTGTTTCTAACAGTTTAGATAGCTGCATCTGCCCCTGGTCTCAATATGAGGGTAAGTAGTTATTTTACCATGCTTTCAATGGTTCAGGAAGTGGTTAGCTGCACCAACAAAGGTAAGCATAGCTGGGCTGAAGTTCAATAAATCTGAACTTTTGGCATCTACTGTGCACTAAGCACAGTAGATGCATGCACAGAGCTGTCACAGCGCACCATGTACAAAATAGTCAGAGACTAAAGCAAAATCAGTTTTTCTGCGATAGTATGAACATGCCTTAAGAGACTGTATTCATGCTCGCATCTCTATGAGGCTGTACTGTAATTGGGCACAGTGGTGCTTTGATTTAAGTGCTAACATCAGCATGCTAACATATTTATATTGACAGTGCTTACATACTGATGCTAAGCAGATATATTGTTTACCCTGTTCCCTATCCAAGTATAGCCTGTTAATATGCTTATATTTGTTAATCAGTAGAAAACTGGGGCTGATGACGATGTCATTAGTTTGCAGGGATTTGGTCATAAACCACAATTGTTGAGCAAAAAAGAATTTTGACCTTATGATGTTCCGGATAAAAATTCAGAGGATCACCAAAGACTTCAAAGATTCATTCTGAGGCAGCAACATGGTCTTATTCCCAGGGCATCAAATACCTTTTGTGTCTCATACTTATGCTACATATATTTAGTGTTGATATAAGTTATGTTTAGGCACAACAACTACACTGTTAGGTTTAGGAAAATACTGTGGCTGGGGTTAAAGCACCTACTAATTAAAAATCACTTCATGACACACCAGAGGCTAACTCCGACTCCCGTGGGAAAGTTTGATGTTGTTTGACCCACCATCTGTCCCAACCCCACCTCCTAGGACTTTCTGCCTTTGTATACTACAAGCTCTTGCTCTGGGCATCAAATACTGATGCGAATGGATACTCTACTGAAAACCCTGTGTATCTCATACAGATGCCAAAGGTTACATTTGGCGTCCATATGACACGTAAAGTTACTTGATGTAACGTCAGTATTTGATGCCCTGGGAATGAGAATGGGCTGGAGTGTGACATGAATGTGTGAAGCAAATTTCATGGCCACCCATCCGCAGCTGTTAAAACATTTCACTCAGAACCACAAATGTCAGCCTCATGGTGACTCTGGAGAAAGAATCAAAGCATCATCAAAGTCAAAATTATGACTTTAAGTGATGATGGGTGAACTTTGACCAAAATGGCATCAATCAGGTTCTAATGGCTAACCTCTTTGGAAGTACAAGTTACATATTCTTCCTCTAACACCTTCAAAGTTGAATTCAGAAGAAGGAAGAAAATACTAATAAATACAATGTACCAGTGTCCCATTCAATACACAAAGGGGGTTTGCTGCTATGCATTCATTTCACTAGCAGGGACCTGCCCTCACTGCATACAAAAGGGGAGTGAATTTGTAAGTACTTTAGTTGCTTGTGCATACTTGGCTGCTTGCCTACTTGATGGTTTAGGGGAAGGTGGGAGGATGAGTGGGCAATGAAAAGCAGAAGCATGATGATTTTTGTGGGGTAAAATAGTGTGAAAACAGAAGGGGTGGAGTTTGGCTGAGGTCCCACGCCCGAACTTCAGATAATTACATTATCTTCATTTGTTGCCAAACATAAATCAAGAACTGGGCAGCCTTTTTGTTTAAAATAAAACATAAGTGCCTTTTATATTTGTGTAAAGTTGTGCTTTTCTCAGCTGTCCCTTGTAGTGAAGCTTGAAGCTAGGTGCCTTTTGAGTTTGCTGAGCTCAGTTTCATGTGCAGGGTGCGGGGCTTCATTCACAAAGAACAGCAGCTCTTGCTGTCCCAGCTTTGTGAATCCAAATGTGTGAACAGCCTGTTACTTGGTCTGGTATAGACAAAGCTAATGTTATCTAATTTTAGATCACTGCTGATGAACTGATAAATGAGTCAGTTCACTGATCTCACAAATCTTCTAGTTGTCGTACAGGTTACTGATGACAGTCTTTAAGGCAACAGGACTCAGGAAAATTCTGTGAAATTAATTCAGTTATTCTGTTGGACTTGTAGCTAATGGAGCTGTTCACCAAGTTATATATAGTCTTGCTTTAATGCACCTTTCAAACCAGTTTCAGGGTGCAGACAAGGTCAGCCTAAAGAATTTACCTTAATGCTAACACAAAGACTATCCTGGGCAAAAAAGTATAATAGAGGACTGTACCTACCTCAGGATCCGAGACTCTGGACACGCCACTCTCACTGTCACCCTCTGAACAAGAGCCCGATTCATCACTGGAGTTGCTGGCACCAAATCCCTGTTCACTTTTGATCTTGGTACAACCCTGAGAGAAGATTACCTCTCTGCTGTGGAGGTTCCTCTGCGCCACCACCCCAGTCAGGCAGTGAGACAGTCGAGAGATGGAGCCTGAGTGTGGGTATGAGGAGATGTCAAACTGGGGCAAGCTGGAGAGTGAGCTTCCACTGCCTGTGTCCTCTGGGTAAGAAAATGAAGACTGTGAGCTGGAAGCCTGGATCTGGGGCTTAGAAGGAGGAGGAGAGTGGGCTGATGTGTTGATGGGAAAAGGGAAGCTGGCAGTGAGGCATGCCTGGCCAGAAGAAGGAGATTCTACCTGCATCAGTGCTGACACTTTTTTTCTGAACTTCTCATCTTTGTAAGAATGGGGAAACATTTGTTGCTCACCGGCTGCTGAAGAGAAAATAACACTTTGTCTATCTAGCTCCCCCTCATATTTAGAGGAGGAGGCTTTGTACACTGGCCTTTCTACGTTCCCGCCAGTCCCGGTCAGTGCTGCTGGTATTACATCTGTAATGCTGGTCTTGAGGTCTACGTGATCCGCAGATTCCCTCTTATCCCTCTGTCTATCTTTGACCAGTCTGTTGGTGAGTAGCTGCTGGATGGCAGCGCTGGGCACATCATTAAGATCCAGGCCACCGCTTTGAAGGTAGGAGCGGAGACAGGAAGAGGGTGAGCGCTCAGCTGGAACCCCTTCTACTTCTAGCTCCATCTCCAGTACCTCCTCAGTACAAAACTCTGGGTTGCAAGCATTCCTTCCACCTCCTTCCTCAAACACAAATGGCTCCTCTTTGATTCTGGAGGGTGTAAGCAGAGATTGTGGAGGAGTACAGCTGTCTACAACCTGTGAGCTCACAGGGCTAACTGAGGTATGATTGGTCAAAATGACATAATCACTGCCATCATGGTTTTCTCCATTGTGCTTGTCGTCACAGATCTGGTGCATATATTTCCTGTATTTAGGACATTGAGCAATGTCAGAGGAAAGTAGCACAGTGCTTGCTACATGATTTGTCTGCTGCCCCTTCTCAACAGATTCATCCAAGGATACTGCCTCAGAAGAAACTACACCCTTAGATATGATATCATCTTCATATTCCCCTTTACAACTATTGGCATGTTGGCTGTCATTCTGCAGCTGGGCTTGAAGAAACCGGAAGCAAGAGTCCTCCAAATTGTGAACACCCAGGAAGTCAGCACACAGGATGACTTCATGGATGTTCTCTTGACTTAAAACCAGCTTGGCTGTGTAGGCAAACTTGAGCAGTGGAGCAAAACCCTTAGCTGTGACCTGTAGAGGAGAGTAGAGAACACATTTCAATTAAAGATGAATGAAATAATGATTTCATTGACAATAAGTACATCCGATTATAAAAAGGTAAATGTTACATAAAAAATCCTGTTTTATTGTGCAGCAACTCCATTTAAAGGAATGGGAAATTACCATTTTTGATATGCACAAAGTCAAAAATTGTGCTGGCCAAACTTCACCATTATATTTTATTGTTTCTTCAACATAGCCTAATTGTGCAGACAAAAGTGTAGGTATAACCAGCAGTTTCCACCTTCTCCAGGGAGACCAAGTCCTGGGTGTGCCTCTGCTCTAAGGGCCATGACATGCAACCATACAAGCATTTCAAAGAATATGTCTGACACACCAAGAGAAGTGAGGAGCAAAATGACCTCCTATCCTACTACAACAGCCACACTACAACTGCTCACGTTACATTTAATCCAATGTGCATTTCTGTAGTAACAATTCCATCAATACAACACCAGAGTCATGTCATAGGCTACTCACTATTCTGCTGCATTGACGGTCTCCTTTTTTTTTAACTTACAGGTGCTAACGTTCCTATCATTTCCCATGTTTCTGGTCAAACAGTGATCACCTGATTTTGATTTAGCTCTGCTCTTAGTCTTTTGATTACACACACCATCCTCAAGGATCCCACCCACCCCCAGCACGGATTGTTCATACCCCTGCCATCCAGAAATGTGAAATGCAGGACTTCTAGACTGAAAAACTCTTTCCTTCCGACGGCCATTAGACTCCTAAACAGCTGACTCAGGATCTACCTCATGTAATTCCACCTGTACTGTTTACATACTCATTTTGCACATGCACAATTGCACACTCACTGCTGAGTATTTGCACTCCACAGCTCCCACGTAGCATATATTCTCTCTGCATTATATTGTGTTCTTGTTGTATTTTTATTTGCTTCCTTCATTTGCTGTTTTAAAGTGCCTTAGATTTGTGATTTTACTGCCTATTTAGATTTGTGTTATTGCTCATCTACTTTATATTTCACTTGTTTTATTTGGCATTCATGTGGACGACAAAGTAAGAATTTCATTGTACAGGGAAACATGTTCCTTAACTGTGCATATGACAAATAAACACTTTGACCTTGACCTTTGACACTCACTGGAATTGTTAATAGTCTTCTTTTGTTAGACAATCCTGGTAGAGTGTCAGTGGCTGGACAACTGAGCGGACCCGGCTCTCAGAGGTGACTGCCATTACAATCCTGTTGGACCAGCCACTGTTTAACCTGAGCAAATGCAACACAGATGCTGTGTGTCAAGCCACATACAGTGTATCTTCTCTTTGCTTGGTTGATAATAGGATTCAAGGATGCTTTGTTAAGGGCAGGTTAGATCTGGAAAATGGTGTTGCTTATTATGGGGCTCTGCAGATTTATGGCAGTATGGCCTTACACCCCCCTCTTTGGGGCCAAATAATGAGTAAACATCATTTAACTTGTATACTGAGTTTTCATATGAATGTGCTCCCATTCTTTGGCACATTTAATTGTGCATTATTGACTGGCTGGGTGAGCAGGAGTGCAGCTAAAGTATTTGATTACACTGCATTGCCAGAAAGTGAGTAAACTCACCTTCATGGTTTTGGTTTGACCAATACTGTGCCTGTAACTTATAGCACACAATTTGTAATTAGGCTTAACAATTAAAAAAAAAAAAATTGCAAGTACAACTTTATAAACATCTTACAATGTCAGAAATGTTACACTGTGTACAAAGTTTAATTTTGCTAATGCAAGCTCTAAATTTTGATTTTTTTGTTTAAAGAAGGGCAAAAAACATTGCCAGTCCAAATAAAGTTCTAATAAAGTTTTGGGAGGAAAAAGAGGTTGCCAGCTCAAACTTCTGGTCGAGGTTGTCAGTCTGCCATCGGGTCGTCTATGTGCCTTGAAAAATGCGTCTAAAACCATGCTCCAGCTGAATTGGCCTTAACTGCACCTTTGTATGTGACTCAACCTGTTTTACGAGCTTCTTCATGAGCCACTTAACTTGATTTTACCAGCGGAAACATTGTGTCTTCAGTGGTTATCAGATTGTCTAAAAGCATCTGAAGCTTCTCTTTGTTAGAACTGGGAGGTTAGGGGTGGGTTTAAAAAAAACTTTTCATCTAAAGTCTTCTGTGAATAAAAATCAATTCACAAATGCAAAAAATCTATTTTTAAGCAATGTTAGTAAATTACATTATGTTGTTGGAACAAAAAATGTGGAAATCAACAATATTATTGCAAAAAATGAACTGCTAGAAAATATGCGCTGTTGTTGTCTTGGGCTTTATTCTCTGACAGTTTTTGTAACTCCCTGAAACCAAGTGTTCGGCTGCATTTTTAATTTAATATTGTGACAATTAGCTTTGCGAGATGAAGTTGAAGCATTTTGTGAATACTTCAGATTATATCAGTGTTAGTGGAGCCTTACTCCAGAACACACAGGACCAACATTTGCTTTTATAAAAACATTTAGCGAGTGATGTTGGTCAGTAAATTACACTTTCATATTATTTCTCTAATACAGGCAGGCACCATTTTATGGTATATTGCTTTCGGTCAACTAAGGACAAGAGTGAATGTTTTGGACACCGCACTAAAGAAAAGCCTGAAAACAGTGGTCGTGTCTGACAGTTTTTGTATCTCCCTGAAATCAACAAACAAGCACACACACACACGCACACACACACATACACACACTTCATGCAGCAACTGGTCAGGTGTGTAAATGTGTCAAAGCACTGTAGTCAGGGTTTGAGCTTCAATCTCAAGCTCTACTTTCATTCTTCACACAATAACCACCACAAATACCTCTGAGGAGAGACCTACCAAAAAATGTGCCCCCTTATCCCACTTGTATGATTCACTGCACTTCACCGCCTTCAATGATAAAAAGCTCTGTGCTTGTCTTCAAATGGAGCATTCAACAGGCACTGTAAAAACGCTGCCGTTCTACATGGTCGTACGAACATCATATCAGCTAGTTTTTTTAAGTTTACTTACCTTTCCTTAGCGACACTGATGTAATAATTTCTGAGAACAGCATGAAAATCATTACCTCACTTTCCAGCCCGAGAATTAACCAGAGTGAACAAGGAAACATTCTGAATAAAATGTTAAATGTGTACTGCATGGAGTTGCACTTCCACAAAAGTGGGTCTCGTGTAAAAGACAGATTTTAAAAAAATGAACATTCAGAATCAAAGGAGCTGAGTCTGAGATATTCTGTTATTTAAATCCTAGTATGGGCCACACTCCAAAAACACTTGGTTGTATTGGTTTTATTGCAGACAGATTGCATTTCACATAATAACACAAAAGCTTGATTTATGGTTCTGTGTTAAATCTGCACAGAGCCTTTGCCATAGGCTACATAAATCTGACTCTTGCATCAATTTTCTGATTTGTATCAATTTATCTTTAAACCTCCATTTCCAAGCCTCTGAAAGTTTAAATTTCATGTATCATTTGTATTTGAAACTTTGGACCAGCCTCTTTACAAGTGATGGAATGTTCTTGGCTTTCTATCTGTGTTCTGTTTATGTCCCCTTACCTTGTCTGGCAAGTTAATGATGGGCTCAGCATCACTGGGTGACCCATTATGCCCCAGCAGGGCCTGTAGGAAGTAGCGACTACTAGCAGCAAGGACAGCCCGGTGGGCACGCACCTCCCTGCCCTCCACCAATATGGTCATATCGCAAAGGATGCCCTGCTGCCGCTGCTCCTCCAGGCTCCGCAGCACATTAGCACAATGGACCTTGGATTCATACACGTATATGGGCACTGCCGCCTCGTTGTCATGCTCCTCGTCTGCCAACATCACACCGTCTAGCACCCTGCGCAGAAGAAAGAAAGAAATGATACCGTGTCAGCTAATTACATGGCTCTTTGAAGGAGAACGTAAGGCTACCTTTTCAATGTGTCCAGTTTCTGAAGAAACAATGACACTGGAGGATTTCTCATTGGACTGTCATGTCTAAAGACAAGATGTTCCAACAATACATTAATCAGCCATAACATTATGACTACATGCTTGGTATTTTGTACTGTAGGCCCCTCTTTTACTGAACATACTCATGCTCCCAAGGTTTTAAAGGTTGTGACATTTCCTTTAGTGCCACCACTAGTGCCAATGCTAAGCTTTATACTGAAAAGCAAAGTTTTGCAGTTGTCTTTTCACCTCAGAAAATGAGAAGACAGTTGAGAAATAACTATTCTATTGGCTGCAGGGTTATGGTTCTGAATTGTAATATACGATCATAACTGTATATGTACAGTATATCTACAGAGAGATAAAGAACTAGATATAGACAGGTATAAAGCAGCCTTCCACCTTGATTGCAGGCACCTCTATTCAAAGGCTTTCCATTGTGTTTCGTTCATTTCATTGCTGTAGTACATAAAGCCCTGCTACAGACAGCTGAGCATGCAGTATATCTGTCTCATTCACCCTGGGCTCTTTGTGTGCGCGTGTCGGTAGGCATAGCGGGGGCTGCTTTCTGCTGATTCATGACTTTGGAATAGACAGAGCCCAGCACTGGGGTTTGCTGGAGTAATGTTCTGTCTTCTGCTGTAGCCCACGGGCCAGTCCTCTCAACACTGTAGACCATCTCCAGCTATCCATCAGGAATACTTCAGGCTCAACCTTAATCGATTGCCTTTCATGGTGCTTATAAATTGTTCACTGCCACTGCATGTCAGGAATTGGCGCGTGAAGCTGCTGATGATAGTCGAGGGGTGAACTCAATAACATAGCCAGATGAGTAAAAGCAAAAAACTGTCTCTTTAATAACAGCCACGGTGACAAACCAAAACGATACAGAAAAACTAAGGAAACAAGAAACACACTCGCAGGTTGGTAATACAGTCCAGGGTCAGAGGCAGCAAACTTACACAGCCGAGGAATCGACAAACGCGAGGTCACAGAGGGAAGTCCGATAATTCATACACAGAAAGCAGACTGAATCAGGAGGGCAAGACAGAACACAGTGGTCAAAATACAATCCGGGGTCAAAACATGAAAAACAGGCACAAGGACAAAACAATGAAAGTCTGACATGGGTTAGAACAATATTGGCAGTTTTCTGGTGGGGGAACGCTGCCTATAAAGGGGTGAAAACAGGTGAAAACAATGAGTGCTGATTAAATTAAAGTCCGAAACTAAGATGGAACAGAAACAGGAAGTAATGTCAAAATAAAAGCATGAGAACAGAAGCCGATGGGACAGAATCATGACACTGCAACCAGTCAACTATCATTACTGCCACTGCAACACTCTGTTCATAATTTTTTAAATACTGCATGTTGAAACGGAATCGAAACAAAGGGAAAATGCATTGACGAGCGCTGCTGTCTGCTGTGTTCCTAACACCATTGTTTATTATCACTGTACTATACTCTAGCACATGGTCCACTCAGTGATTTTTTTTCTGTCTGTAATTTCAGTTCCTCAGCAGATGCAGTCACTGACGTATTACATTTTTTTTTTAAATCAAATTAATTTTGTTACAAAAAAGGCTTTTGCAGATTGACTCTGTCTGCTGATGAAGACCACAAGATGGACCTTTTTGTTACGAATATTTATAATGTTCTTGTTAACATTTTTTTGTTTTATACTGATGAGTAAAAAGTAAAACAGTTAAATGCTTATTTGCACTGAACATTAATTAATTACTTATAATTATAACCAACAGCCTGAATACTGGGAATACACTGGGTCAGTAATATCAGATTATGGATAAACAACCAATTTTCCCACAGTCCTCAGCCTATCAACATCCTGCCTGAATGCTCCACCCAGGGACTCACAATTTACAGTATCACTGGCAATGTAAATCTGTGAGTATAGAAATTAACCTTCAACCTTCTCATGGACCAGAGTCAAAAGGTTTAGAAGCCATTTATTTAAAGTGATCAAAATCAGTAGCATAATCCTGCTAAAGTTAAGAGTCCTGGGCAATAGCTGTCTTCTTTTGACCCAAGTTGTTGGGATGGCCAGTGTCATCACCATCGTTAAGAAATAGCCATTGGAAAATTGCTTACAAATCAGAGGGTGATTAGAAACACTGTCTTTAAATAATATGCAGTTTGTTCCATTTACAGTTGAATCTAAACATCCATGTGAACATTAGTATAGATGTGAGAGTCAGAGGTACCATTACATGAATATACTGAAATAATGCTGATAAACTACATTAACATTTTCCACTTTTGATATTTCATCATTTCTCCCCTTGAATTACCAGTCTTCAATATTTAAAGCTTATGCTTACCCATGTTTTGCTTTTTTCCTTCTCAGCCATGCTGGCTAAACTGCTCAGACACAGTTGAGGCCTTGGTAAACAAGACATTGCCATAGGTTTCATCATCACTGGGCTGTACTTTAATATACGTGAGGCGAGGATGGCATATCTCGGTAGCAGACTAAGCTGACAGGCAGCTAACTGATATTCATAATCCCCAAACTATAAAACTGAAGGAAAGGAGGAAGCTGAGGAGTGTTGCTGGGCAAATATGAAGAACTGTAGATGATGAAATACAATATGTGAAACCATATAATTTACTGTATGTTAATAAAGAACGAAATCTAGCATGTGCCGTACCATGCAGGTTATTGACTAAACTTTTATTTTAGGCTTCTAACACATCACACACATGCTGTATACCGTAAACACTGTGTGCTATATAAAGAGCACAGTGGTTGTGTGCTGCCTATCTGTATATAAAGCTGTCTTATTAAGCTGTAAACCGTGATAATGGTGAACTGAACTGCTTCCACTGGGTCACTTAAAGCACAACCAGGGATGCTGAGTAGAAAGCTACATGAACTGAACCTTTAAAAACATGAACATATAAATCAGCTGATGATTGCAGATTCATCATGTTGTAACATGAAAACACAGAGATGCCAAACTAGGTTTGACATCATTTAAAAAAAAGTCTGCCCATTATATAGTTTGCCCATCAGAGAGCACTAACACATTGCTTTTTACACTGTACAAATTTTTAGGTTCATATAAGACTTATCAATTCAATTATTTCAGAAATGACAAATAGAAAACAATCACAAAAATATCAAGCACATAAAAAACTATCACACAAGACAAGACATGAAAAAAAAGAAAAATCCTATTTATAAAAACCTGTTAGTTTAAAGTCCAACTTGGACAACAATTTCAAAATGTTTCAATCATTAAAGAACATGGTAAATTGATAACAGAACATTACTGGAAACCAACAAATTAAAAATACCTTATTACTGTACATGCCAGGAGTTTTCATCCTACTTCTCTTAAAAAAAGTTTTCCAATTAATCAATTTAATAGAATGCATCATTTTTGCAGCTTTATGCTAAACAGAGATTTAGGGAATGACAATATAAAGACAGTTGAATTCAAAGTGCAGGAAAAGGTTTGAGAAGGCTGGTCAAATACTTCAAGGACTATTTCAAAAAATGACAGTCCCTTACGCATTATTAGACAAGGTGTAAAATCTCAGTCACAATCAGCAGGCAGCAGAGCAGCAGGATGTTTCTCCTGTCAAAGTGGCACTGCCAGTAATTCCTTTAATGCAGCTCTCTGTGGCCGCTCAGCATTTTCCCCTCATCAGCCAGTTGCTCTGTTAGCCTACATTCAGTCTAGCAGAACCATCAATCAAACACACATCTAAGGCCATTCAAACCCCTGAGACAGTCAGAGATGAGCAGAGGTGGCCACAAATGCGTGCACGCACACACACACACACAGTCCTACCCAGCAGGCAGAGTAGAATCAACTAGTGAATTATTCATCACAGGAGCAGCAGAGCCCAAGACCAGGCAAGGATCCTTCCCCAAAGCTGCTGCACACACACACTGTATTCATTAATTAATGAATACTAGCAATTCATCGATTTCATTCTGTGTGGGTATGTGTGTGGGTACAGTGTGATGGGTGCCCTACTTTCCTCCACCCTTTCCTGCCTTCTCCTCTGCCCTGATTATGTCTCCTTTTCCTGTGAGGTGTCTGTGGGGTAGTCTGAGTAGTGTATACAGTGTGTGTGAGCGCACAGAGGGCTTCCAGTGTGTGTACATTTCTGAGACAAACAAAAAAGTGGGAGGTTCTGTCAGAACAGCTGATTTATTTGCTAAAGAGGGTACTGTCCAGTTTGAATAATCTATAGAAACACATTTTTAACCTAAAAGAAAACACAGTTACTGTAAATTAAAGTAAGCTGACTTACATAAAGACACAACTACTGCAGATGTATAGAGTGTAATGTATACTGTAGCTATGGTATAAAGAATAGTCTGGATGTGGTATAAATCTATACACTACCCTTTATATCACAGCCACACTGCACTGATATACCTGTTTTCCCTCCCAGCCAACCAAAGATGTTTGGTGTCCTGAGAAGTGGGTGCAAATATTTGTTTGTTTTCATTAAGAGGCGTCATATAGCTTTACCTTTATTGGTAAAGTATGTTTAAACACACAAGGAATTTGATTCCAGTAAAGACACTCTCAATGTGTATTGTAAGTCAACAAGAAAATAAAAATATGTGCATTAAAAATAGGAAAATATGTACAATAAAAAAATTGGGGCAAAAAGAGAAATAATCTGTTTATAAATACATATACAATACACATTGGGGGAAATTTAGGAGGCATTTGCAGCTCATTTTCTGGTGCTAAACATTCTGTTTATTGCCATTATAAGTCTTTAAGGGGTGGTTGTGGCTCATGAGGTAGGGCAGTCATCTCCTGACCAGCAAGTTGGTGGTTCGACTCCCGGTCTCCCCACATGCCTAAGTGTCCCTGAGCAAGACACTGAACCCCGAATTGCTCCTGGTGGCTTG